AGGATCATCAGCCACTTGATGACCCCTTGACTCGTGATAACGAGGAACCAGAGGTGGTGAATCGGTTCACCTACATTGGCAGCTTCATCAGCAAAGACGGTCGCAGAGAAACTGAGGTCAGTTCACGTATTGCAAAAGCCAGAATTACCTTCCTGAACCTACGACCTCTTGGGCGACAGAATGGAGTTTCCCTCCATCAAAAATGCTGGATAAACAAAGCCACAGTGAGGGCCGTCTTGCTCTATGGTTGTGAAACTTGGCCCATTCGGTCTGAAGATCTGAGGTGCCTTCAAGTTTGATCATCGTTATCTGCGAAGCGTTGCTCATGTCGGATGGCACCAGCGTGTCCACAACGATGATGTGCGTAGGCGAGTATTAGGTAGTGCTAATCATGCTAGCTCCCTAGAACAATAGATAACACTGAGTGAGTTGAGTTGGCTTGAACACGTACTACGAATGCCTGATCAGCGCATATCTAGGACGGCCTTGTTTAGTCTGCCAAAAGCAAGGCTTGAACTGAACAAAGGTGTACTTGGCAGTGGGAAATGAAGTCTCTGGCGACCAAACTGGCTGCCGTTGGTCCGTCTCGCCTTCCAGGTTGGAGTCCACGTGAATTGCCCTAAGCTTGGCTCTAGACTTTGCAAGACATGGCTCACAACCGACACCAGTGGCGCGTCTGCTGCGGTCACCTAGTCGAATTGCCTGTTTAAGTGTGTCTGGTGCTGATTTATCTGCGGGGTAATGGCTGATTATAGCGCAGGGTATTGAAAGCCGCAAGGAAGCTGTCTCACCCGTGTCGCCTTATCTTTGCACGCTAGCCAGCTGTTTGTGACGGTATGTTGTTTACATAAAGTGGAGACGCCTTAAACCTGAATATTTGCTTAGAGCATTAAGGTGTTAAGGTAAGTCCCATTCTCTCTTTTATTATTCTTTTTTCATAGGTCACCGTGGTTGTATGCCAGAGAAACATCAGTACAAATGGCTGATGTACTTCTGTTGTTGAAGATTTATGATGCTTCATTTGTAAATGTCCTGGCAAGCTGATAAACAATTCCTCTTATTTCAGCGATTGGGACTATGGAAATGCAGCCAGAGACTTCAGCTGTAATTGAACAATGACATCCTTTTCGATAGTAATGTTTTAGCTGATGTTGCAGACTTTCGTGTTGATAGTTTGGCACAGGTGGAAACAGAATATCTTAATTTTGCGTCGGGCATTGTGAACCTCGCAGCGTTAATAGAAGCCTTAAAAGACCGACTGAAATCTTTGTTGGCATCAAATCCGGTAACAGTAGTTACATCATTTCGAACGTACTTCTATAGATCTGCATCAGGATATAAAGGTTGGCTAGATAACTATTGCCCACCTTGGCCTACCTCGTACACGGCTAATAAAACATGTCGGAAACTTTAGCTAAAGTGATGTTCTCGTATATTGTGTCTGTGAACAATGTAATTATAAGTTCCTTATAACCTAACATGAGAATCTATTCTGATCATCCACGCCTGAATCATGTAAAATTAGCTCAAAGTGCTGTTCAGGAATAGCAAAAATTTTGCCTGTTGAACTAGGCAAATGACTCAGCATGGTTTTTGCAATGGATAATTGCTTGGGTACGTGAGCCAAAGCTTCACTACTGAGTGCAGATAACCCATTTCTCATAACATTTCCCCATGTCGCACTGGCTGCCCTCATATCCAGTTTCTTTTGGCTTCGTGCAACATTTGCTTCCGCTTTTTGAGCATATAAGCCTTGACAGTGTGCAGTCGGCTGTCACAAGATTATGCCGTCTTGTGTCTTCTTCAGTGGGTGACAGTTGACATCTAGGTTTTATCTGCATCTCCAAGTTACCACGCACTCGATAGTGTAGAAAGCAAGGTATTCAAACCCCAAGTATGTCAAAATTAGGTTGTCCTTCCGATTTCTAGAGTATTCCATAAGTAACAGGGCAACAAGAAACGGCGATATGTATTGCAGTACACTTAGAAAATCGCGTATTTATGTCAACTGTTTAAATAGAACTGGTGGGTTCTATTGGTTACCTAGCAGTATTGGACAAACACTAGAGTTCAAAGCTCATTTGGTACTGTCCAGCTTCCTGCTCTGCGGCCGCGGTCACCAACGTCTTCATGGCTCGGCGACACTACCGACGAACTCCATCTGCTTACATACAGTTGGGGTCACCCGCAATTTTGTTGCGGCTTCAACAAACCTAAGTTTGTGAGCAGTGCCCTGTCTTTTCGTGTGGGTTATGAATTACACCCCACTGCTGGTGTACAGCTGGTGTACACTGATACATGCGTGGTCATAATTGCCCATTCGTGCGGTTGTAATATTGTTGCGAGGTATACAATTTTGTGGAATCTTGTTAGTGACTTCTACACTGTCAAAATGAGTCAACCTTTGCCTGTATCCTTAGAGCCACTGGTAACATGTTTACCTTCTGGGGTAAGGTAGCATATACCGTGATGGTTGGAATTGTTAAACTGCCAAGCAGAGATTTGTGAAGATGGCAAATACAGCTCAGTCTGTAGATCGGACCAAACATTGGAGATGTGTCCAAATATTCCCCCCCCCCCCCCCGAGATGCAATGTGGTATGAGCGGCTGTGGTGTGACGTATATTACAATACGGAAGAAAAGTCTTTATTGTCGCCTGGTCACTAACAGTACGCTGTCCAACAGATCGTTTTATACGACGTGAATTCCCTATGTGAGTATTAAGAAAAGTACCTAATTAGTACGGCCATATGGCTTTACTTTTAATGTGCGTTAATTTGCGTTAGGTTTTATCTTAATCCACGCCCCAAGTGCTAAAGCTGAGTAAAACGTTGTAAGAGAACATTTGAAAGGCAAGCTGATTTCCCACGGCAACCATGATCTCGCAAACGCGAATCTACACTCTATCATCGGTTCGCTATCTAGGGAAGTCGGTTGATTTGGTATATGAAAGGACAGGTCATAAGGGGAAGGCGACGCCGTATTGCCTCCAAGATGCGGTTTAGTGCAATACACAAAGTTTCGGCTCACGGGGACAAGGTGGATTGAAACATCTTTAGCGACTGCACTTGTAACAATAGTAGGCAACGGCGGTCACAGTAGGAACGCTATTAATCAGCTGCTGTAAAGTATGTGAGCCGCGTAGAATTGCCTCCTGTCCCGATGTCTTGCATCACCGGCCCAGTTTATTTATTTACACATGTAACACATTGTTAACCAGACATAAAACACGATTTGGATAGAATGGAAATTGGGTGATGGCCACCCGAAAACTGCACTCCACTACCCGCTTCCACTATGATTGCTCTCATTTGGTAGAAATAGCAAGACTCCAACCCGGGACCATTGCGATAGTGCTTGGGACCTCTACCCCTATAGCCACCTGGTCACGACTGGCTACGTTTGGTGCAACTGTTCTGACTGATTAGAGGGAATGTTTTAGTGTTCGTTGTGTGAATGAATTACGAAGCGCAGTCTCAATGTGGACCGTGATTCCCATTGAAATGAACCTCGGTTACATAGATCACTGGGACCGTAATTCATGATGGTTTATACTGACATCATGACGACACTACATATGTCTCCTTTCGATAAGTGTAAAACGAGCTTCTGGATCTGTTGTATAACCTCCTCTTCAAAATAGCCACCGAGCATGATATCAGTCCCTCGAAAAGTGATGTGAGCGACTGGTCCCTGAATGTCACCAGCAATAATGAGCGCGGGCACAGCCGTCTACCAATCCTCGAGTAGTGTTTTACATTTGGTCTGGGTGAAATACTGACTGTACTTTTATGTTTCCATTGCTAAGCAGTTTAACATGTCTTAACTGGCGTCTAAATCGTCCCCCAGTGAGGCGAAATCACCGGCGTCCCGCTGGTGGTCTGACATGGTCCTTCAATTAGAATTACGCATTTTATTATTATTACTGAGATGGTTACGACTGCTGTGCGTCTTTAGCCAATGGGAAATATCACAATAGATATGCCGTCAACAATGCTCTACTCATACTGATCCAATCGGTGTGAGAATAAAGGTGCTAGCTGAACGCTTGCATACGGTTTCATTTAATAATTCCATTTTATTGTGCTTCAAAGATCTAGGTCGGCCGGGTTATAAGCGGACTACATGCTCCTCTGGTCTGGGTTCAAAGGTAACAAGTCATGAATCCAAACGTTTCCCATGCAGTGCGTGAAGCTTTGTGCGTCCAATTTTACAATCCCATGCCTTGTGTGATGGGATGCAGAACTGACACTGCCAGTCCAGGACTAAGCAGATCATGCGCAGTTGGTGTCCCCGTGGCTCTTGAAGTTATCCACTGTACATGGTGAGTCCCAAGGGCACGCATACTGTATCACTGAGGTCCCAAATCACATGTGACCAACGAGTACAGCCTATTGCCAAAGCAACCAAGTAGGAGGACCATGGTTTCATACAGGGAGATTGCAAGTGGAGAAAATGTAACTGTGCCTACAATCGACCATCGAAGTGTGTAGCCATATAGTCGCCTTGGCTACAGAAATAACTGCTACACGTGCTGAGTAGCGCATTTCGACGGAGGCACGAATGTAACAGTTTGTGTGGCAGCCTAAAGGAAACAAGACCTAACAATAATTTGCCAGTTAGGGCATAGTAGATCACAACATTGGTATAGATTAAGACCGTCGTCTTATATGCCAACTTCTGGATTGATGCGGCCGACAAAGGTGAAACGTGCGAGGTGTCAAATCTGCGTGTACGCATTTAATTCAGCCTTATTTTATGTGGCCATGTTTTGTGACTTGAAGGGAAGTTGCGTACCCGTTTTTGGTTGTTTCCCCGGCAACTTCGTCTGTGTGTGATCTCAACTCAACCCCCTTCATTTCTCTGTGGCTAACGATAGCGCACCCTGCTGTTTCTCTTATCTGAGACCCACTCACGTACAGACGAGAGAAACCATAGTGGGCATTTTACTCAAGCACTCAAAAGCATGATTATGGCGGTAGAACACGATAAACACTTACGTTTCATTGGTGAGTATTTTCGAATGAAGAGCTGACACACCGTTGACCGTATGTGAACCGACGACACACAAAATGGCTGTATTGACTGTTTTTATCGGTTCTTCCTCAATCATGGACATACGACGAATGCGCTCACTGTCGTTTGGAAAGCGTTTAGCAACCAGCTTAAAAAGGGGATGACAAGTTAATGGCTACCTGATAACTGATTCGTTGGAAACAAACTGAAAATTCTTTTCATGTGCGCATTTCAACAGAAAAATCCTCATAGAATCTTGTGTTTGCGTTTAACCAAACCAGAACTACTTGCGATTGTTGTGTGTGTGAGCAACAGAGTTGTCGAATTGCACCACCGTTTGATTGAAATAAATGAGGACACTTCCCCTACGACCAACTGGGTCGGTTAGACTTAAAGGAACGATGACGGTTGAGTTAATGACTTCATCTTCTAAAACACGAAACATCTAATTTCTACAAACCACGGGCACTTTTCTTAAATATTGCATTTGTTGCCTAGTGATCATGGGAGTAACGAATTTATTAAACAACGGCTACACACCACTGAAAAGAGTGTATTATTTACATCCTGTGCACTGGACAACAAGTAAGACCGACCTTCCAACCAGTACTACACATTCCCCTCATACCAAAGTCCCTGTGGTTCGAAGCAAAAAAAAGCGACGAAGCAAGACAACGCCAATGATGCTGCTAATACCGCAAAAAAGGAATAAAAATATCTCCAGCAAGTGACGAATCCACGGTAGACAGTGCTTAAATCATATTCTATCAAAAACCAACGGCAGTCTGGCAAAGCCCTATAGCTGCATAAGTTGGTCAACAGATCATTTCAGGCGGCATTTTTACGATTGGGAAACGAGGTCGAGTGTCCACCTGTCACTTGTTAGCCTAAAGATCGCTGATCACGCTCTCAGTCTGATTAGTCCCTTACACACATGTACCCATCCATGCACACACACACAACTAAGTTCAAGTCTGGCGACTTGGATCGTTAGATGGTGCGTACACTGTCCCCGTCCGCACGCTGGGTGTCCATCCAGCTACGTAACAGCTTTTTAGATGCTGGAGGTGCAAAGTATCTGTTGAAGTGCGCCACTCAATATAAACTGCAACAAGGTTGGAGGGAATTGCCCATGAACATTTCGATCATTAAATCAAAGAAAAAGAGATGGTGCGATTGGAAATTGGGTGTTGCCCACCCGAAAACACTGCACAACCGAGACCTGCTGCCTCCACCTGATGAGATGAACTTACATCGAAAAGCGTCGTGGTTGTGCAGTGTTTTCGGTCGGGCAACACCCAATTTCCATCTGCTTTGAGTACGGTCCCAGTGATCGCAGTGACTAAGGTTCACTTCAATGTGAACTACAGTACAGTACATTGAGATTGTGCGTCGCAATCCAAGCACACAACGAGTAGTTCAAACTGGACCCTCCAATTAGATTGTGCGGTCTTTGATACACGGTTTATTATGTATAACTCAGGTGAGAGACCCTTGTTGACCCTAACGTGGTCCGTGTAACAAGAAACTCTAGAACCCCACTTCAAAGTCATATTGCACAGCACACAAATGCGATCAAATAATTCAGATGCAACTTTCAAGTCATGGAGACCTGCTATGAAGATTTATTTGCACGGCCAAGTTAAGGCAACTGCAGAGAGATTAAGGCACTAGACATGCGTAGTTTATTCGAGTTAAAGATAAAAGATCTCGCCGCTCAGCACAATCACCGGAGCCCTTCAGGGAGCCATATTATCAACGTAACTCTTCTCTATATCCCTTGGCTCCATACTTATTCCAAATGAAGCAACTCGCTGAAATATGCAGGCTATGGGGATCTTGGACATTGGACATCCGACCACAGGCTCATATGTCAGCTTCAAGCTCATTTGGACTAATCCACTTAGTATTTTTAAGCTCGTGATTTCGTTGTCAGTGCGTTAAAGCACAATGAGGTTCTCTTTTCTACACAAAGCTTTCGTTACGGAAACTTCACATAAAATGTCGTGAATTTCACGTAGCTGGCTAAAGGTAGCATTCCACCTTGTCAGTAAATTATCTAGGTGCAGTGGCCTAGCAAGTACTTTTGCTGCCCGATGCGGTGGTAACTTTTTCTCCCTGAATGATGACAGAATAGGCGCGTGAAGACCACACAATCAGCTCAGGGCAAAGTGCACACTAGTTTTAGATGAAATGGATGATGGGTGTGACAAATCTAAATGTGGTGTAACTGACCACAGTAGGGCAACTAGGGGGATTGTTCAGGAGAAAGTTTCCACAGGTATGACACATAACTCAAATGTGTCGTTGGTCATACTCTCAGCTTATCTGGAGATTTTGCCCCTTATATTTGGTACCGAACTATCGACGGTACTAAAAATGCCACCCGGTCACATGCATCCTCGCGGCGGACCGCCTCTGCCTCTGCCTAGGTGTCACACTCAGCCGTGATCTTACTTGATCACCCCATGTGAATGAAGTTTTCACAAAAGTAAGTAGGGTTTCTCTCTACACTGCTCGCTTGCGACCACCCTCTGTCCTCCTAACTTAATATTTCCATATATCACGGCAAATGCGTTACCCCATTATACACACTGCTCCCCTGTGATATTTCCTAGTCTTTTAAGCACGTATTTCAATTTACTAGATAGGACAATAATGCAAAGGTTTCGATCTAGCGACCTTTCGAAGCCGAACTTTGTCGACATTCATGTGGCGACTCATAACAGTTCATACTTGCTTCAAAAATATCACCCATGCACATCACTCCCTTCATTTGTGATTTTAAATTGTGCATCTATACTTCAACGACAGTAAAGGTTACAATTCCACTTATACTCGCGCACCCGCTTATTACGCGTCTGTCACCCCATAGCTAGAGCGTTTTCATGGAACCAAACTTCAATTGCTTTGGAATTTACTAACAAGTTCGCATCGCAAACCAATTGCAGTGTACGCAAATTAGTAGCCAATTTTGTGTACTCTATATTAAGTGTGCTTCTTTTCAATGCTGCATGCTTGTGTGTGTGTGTGTGTGTGTGTGTGTGTGTGTGGAAGCTTGATGTTCAATCTCCTAGGAGTATTCGACTGTTTCTTGAATTGGATTCAATTGGCAGGGTTGAGAAAGGTGGTACCTCCACTCTGTTACGCGGAGGAAGCTGACCTGCCGTTCATTGATTTGGTTTAACCGATGATTAGTCCACCGACGCTACATGACTCCTGTCAGGAGTTCGGAAGTGATTAAAATCAGCTTTACACCGCCATGACCTCCAGAGGATTCCTGTCGGCTCTCACGGATGGCTAGAATGACACAAGATGGGTACGAGTCAGACAATACCAATGAGGCCACCAGTAATTCACCACCATCACCACCACCACCACCACCACCAGCAGCAGCAGCAACAGCAACAACAACAACGGTGTAAGGCCGTCTGGGTCTGGCGGTTTTTCTGCAACAGTGCCACCATCTATTGAGATGCCGTATATCACGGGACATATTACATCGAACACGAGAAAATTTCAGGAAACGCAACAAACAAAGCTGATGATTCGGGTCGGTTAAATTCTGTTTCGAAATGATCCGGCCAACGCTGTAGTCGGAGGGACTAGGAGCTAGTCAGCTTTTCATTCTCCTCAGTTATTGTCTCGTTGCAGAGTTGAAACAGCCTTCTGGTATATCCATTAGTGGAATATCGCACAGAAGACGCATGACCAGGTGTACCCAGTCATGCAGTTCGGCGCGTTATCTGCAATCATGAAGAAAGCACCCAAGACCTATAAGCTGATTGTGCTCCATAAGTTGCCTGAGATTCATTCGCAGTCCTTGTTGTGTGCTGCTTGAGCACACGTAATCGTCGTCAGCTTCCACTATCTTCACAACGCCAAACCATATCTGCGGGACGGACCACGAAAAAGTGTCTTTAAGGAATTCAGGTTGATAAGTTTACAAGAGCTTTTACGACACCAACGACTGAGCTGCTTAAGTGGCCCAGGGTTACTAACGTGGACGATTCATCCGTACGGAAAAGCCACACACTAAAAAGAACAACTGAAGCGCCCGTGCAAGAACCTCAAATTTCATCGCAGCTACATCAATGACATTCGCAGGTACATAGTGCGATAACCAGTCCCCCGTTAAGTTTGATGGGCATAAGCAAGCGGAAAGAGGAACAGTCTAGTTGCGTGTTGCCGCAGTGCACATGCACTTCCTATAGAGTTCTTGTGCGGCGATCCGCTAATACTTCCGCCCACTAACAGCAATGAGAAAACGAACGAGCTACGTGACGTCAAAGAAAACTGTAGTCTCAGTCGACGTTGTGTCACCATCCAGAAAACCGACAGTTTCTCCAAGGCCCAATAATAAAGATCCAAGGATTTATATTTGGAAAACGACTTCATTATATAGGTTGACGCGCAAAAGTGTAGGCCAACCTGAGTGTGGAAACCGTGTGGACAGGTAAAACCAAGAAAGATTGAACAAATAGGGAACATACAGGTGCACACAAAGAACGAAAAGTGATAGTGCCTGCGTCAGAGTATGGCTGCGCTGCGAAAGCAAAACAACGAATCTAAAGCAGTCAATGGGGCTGATAGGTTAGAGCAAACCTCAGTGGACTACGACAAGAAAAAGAAATTCTGCAGTCACGAACGGCTACAAAAGTATACCTGTATTTTTATTGTTGTCTTACCAAGAGTAGTGGGTTCCAAGCTTCTTCGCGTTATCATTGTCCTGAGGCCAGGTATATACCCTACATCCTTCAGTGTAAAAGTTGTGTTGAAGTAGCTGTTATGCCTGCGTGAACACAATTGTTCTGCATCAGGGGACATCTGACAGAAGGCTTTGCAGATTATAGCTAAGCAGTTCACCGAAGCTCTGGGTAGATGCCATCAGGATAAGTTCAGCACAAACTAAAACTGTAGGCCATCACCGCTATCCGCATGAAAGGTAGTCGCGCGATAATGCCAGTTCTCGTGCGTTCTAGACGACGGAAGCAATCATCACCTATATACTAAAGGACTACTTGGTAAACTCAGCATCATGCTATCGCTCATGTACCAATAACATACGTCGCAACGAGACTGGACCTTAAAGTGGTGCGACGGTTTGCGTACCTCCTTGACCCATTGAGCTACACTGGGTGGTGCTTC